TGCCGGAGCCCGAAGCAAAAGGTTTAAATTTTGGTTAAAACAGCAATGTCTACACCCTACAGACTACAATCAACATAAACAATACAGTGCACGAAAATTTAAACGAAGGACATACATTGCTGAACCGAGAGTCTTCGAATTCGAATGAATCAAATCGTTTACCAATCTATTCGCCTCTGCAACCTCCTGATTCGAAAGCATAGACGCCACGGAGCCTGCGAATTAAGCAATCACATCAGCGGCAACAGAACAATGTTAATAGCCGAATATTTTTCGACAAATAACCCAAACGGAAGTGAAAAATAGAGAGAAATTGAATAACTGACCAGGCATGAGGGCATTCTCGGAAATATAAGTGTTCTTGGCGAGAACCGGAAGCAGCAAGAGCGCCACCACCCCGGCGGCGGAGAACACGACACTGACAAAAGAGAAAAACGACCGCCAATTCATCGTTATCAGCATTAGCTGGTGACAGCCTTAATAATTTGGTATCGGGATGTAATAAATAGAAATAAATTAAATTAATTACCTGAACAAGAAGCTGTGGGAGATGAGGAAGATCCCCAGCCATACGATTGGTTTACGTTTAGGTTTAGCTCCGGTGGCGGTCTCGCTACCGCCCTCCGCCATTGTTCTCCGGAGTGGATTCGAAATCCGATGGCGGATGGGATCGGTTGTTTCTGTTAGGGGAAGTGTGAGCGTCTCAGTCGATCAGTCGGAGTCCATTTGTAGGGAACGAAGAGGAAGAGCTGAGCTGAAAGCTGCGAGTGAGTCAGAGACAACGAGATCCGAGTTGGCGGGTTGGACTTAAGGACTTGGGGGTGGTATCGGGCTTTTGGGCTTCTTTATTAGATAAAATACGTAAAGGGATTTGGGCCGTGTTGGCAAGAAGCATGAGCAGCAGGCCAGCCACAAGTCCGGATCCTCGCCGGATCCCTTTTGTGGTGATCCGGTGATCCGTAAATTGTGTCCGTTCATGGTATATCATGAGGTCATTTAGATATTTTTATTTAAAAATAAACATAAACACTACTTGACAAAAACTGACTGCAAGATATACGATGAACGAACACGATTCATGAATCCTCAAGATCAGCACCAAAAGGATCCGGAGAGTATCCTGTTGGGCCAACCACCACTTCTTTTACCTACTAACATGCCAGCCACCAGTCCGGATCCTTGCCGGATCCCTTTTGTGGTGATCTGAAGATCCGTAAATTGTGTTCGTTCATCGTATATCATGAGATCAGAAATCATTTTAGATATTTTTATTTAAAAATAAACATAAACACTACTTGATAAAAACTGACTACAAGATATACGATGAACGAACATGATTCACGGATCCTCAAGATCCTCACCAAAAGGATCCAGAGAGGATCCTGTTGGGCCAGCTAGCACTTCTTTTACCTACCAACACGCCGGTTTAGTTTGGCCTAGAGCATTTTTCATGCAAGCGATATTCCTTTTTTTTTCTTTTTTTAAAGAGGAGGGGATGAGTTTAGCCTCACAATTGGCTGGCAATAATGTTGTTCAAACTCGCTTTTGGTGAAAATCGAACCTAAGACTTCTCACTTACAAATGAAGAGAAATACTACTACACCATAGTACTAAGTGGCATGCAAGCGATATTCTAAAACGCAGATGTAGGATTTGACCTAGGAAGCAAAGTACAAAGAATATATGCTATAGTCTATGAAATTACGTCCAGTAGTTCGGGCTAGAGCCTTAATTCTCACACTGGCCTCTTCCCTTTATCCCATTTCCTCCTTTTTCTTCAAACGTTTCAGAAAACAAAATCAACGGATTTTTCTAGTACGCACCGGAGTATAACGTCAATTGCACTACTGCCTTTGACAACCATTGGTAAATCACGAAACTAATTTCACGTCTCATGAAACGAGCACACACGAATTGAATTACATGCTGCCGCTGCGGTCACAGAATCATTCATTTACGGAGTTTTTTTAACATTCATGCCCAAAACTAATTCGATCTTCCACACGCAGCAAAAACAGTTATTCGTTAGAAAAGCAAAACATTCGAGTTGGTTTGGTATTGCTGTGAATAAGCTCATTTTTGCTGCTTCACGTTTTCAGCTTTTTTTCACCAAAAACTGTGAAAATAAACTGTTTTTAAGTGTTTATCAAACACTTTTTTGAGCTCAGCTTTTTTTATACCTATTTTTTATAAAAGCATCTCGTACCAACGATTTTACAGATATGCAGAATGTATATAACGTACAAGTAAAAGTGGCCTCAACACCGGCTCAAGGTGGGACCGGGAAGAACACAGGCATAGCCCATTTTAAATAACACGTACAAGTACAACTACATAAGATGCACCAAGATCAGCGAGATAAATGCTCAAGCAAAAGAACCGCAACACCCATATAGCACCTAAACAATCCTTTCGAAACAAACATCAACTACGACAGTGGGTATACAGAAACACTACGTAGAAAGCTACTTAAGTCGACCGTGTAGCTAGCTAATTGCTTGATCTTCAGCAAGCACATGCTACTCAGAACTGCTGGCGACGAAGGTTAAAGACGATCATAGGCTAGCTACGTAGAAAGCTACTTAAGTCGACCATGTAGCTAGCTAACTGCTTGATCTTCAGCAAGCACATGCTACTCAGAACTGCTAGCGACGAAGGTTAAAGACAATCATAGGCTAGCTACTTAGAAAGCTACTTAAGTCGACCATGTAGCTAGCTAACTGCTTGATCTTCAGCAAGCACATGCTACTCAGAACTGCTAGCGACGAAGGTTAAAGACGATCATAGGCTAGCTACGTAAAAAGCTACTTAAGTGGACCATGTCTGGCTTGCGAATTGGCAACAATGCCAATATGTCCCATGTTCTATCTTTAATCAACCAATCATTTCATTTCACTTGTATAACTAATTATCCAAAAGCAAACACGGAATCAAATACACAACCAAACATTGGGAAACCAGAAAACCCAGCAAACTCAAAATCCAAATGCAAAGCGAGTCATTGACCTACCAAAGTTAGCTGAGCAGAGCAGGTTCAGCCTGCTAATTGCCCGTGTTCAAACATCGCCGAGATGTCCCAGAGTTCTTAAGCTATCAATCATTTCACTTTCATTGCATAACTAATTCCAACATGCAAACACATAATCACACACCCAAACAAACATTCCGAAAATCGAAACAAATTCAAATTGCAAGTAAAAATTGAGTCAACAAAACCCATTTCATTCTCTGTTTGCACAAAACAACAAAGGCAATCGAACAGTAAGCAATAAAATCTAATACCATATCTCAATAGTAAAGTAGCACATTATATAAGATAGCGAAAAAACTCCGAAAATACGACAAGAAATGACAAATCGGTTGAAAAAACCTAAGCGGTGAGCACGACGGCGCCACCGGCCTCCTTGATTTTCTTCTCGGCGGTCTTTGAGATCAGCTTGGCCTTCACCACCAACGGCTGAGACGGCAACACGCCCTTCCCCAACACCTTGAAGTAGCCGAACTGAGTGACGTCGAGCAACGGCGCCTCGCTTCCTCCCTTGGCGGCGGCGGCCTTGTCCTTCACGTCCTGGGGTACAAGCGACCACAGCTTGTCGAGGTTGACGATCGGGCAATGGAACTTGTTGCGCAGCCTGTGGAAGTACCTCATACCGACCTTGCCGAAATACCCTGGATGGTACTTGTCGAAGAGGATCCGGTGGTGGTGCATGCCTCCGGCGTTACCGCGACCGCCGGGATGCTTGCGGTGCTTGCCGATACGCCCGTGACCGGCGCTGACGTGGCCCCGCTTCTTGCGGTTCTTCTTGAACCTCGTCGTCATCGTTGTCCGCCTAGGGTTTTTGGGGAGCGGCTGCTAGTGAAATGGAGGAGCTTGGGAGCTAGGGTTTTATTGGAAGAATATATAGGGAAGACGAGAAAATGGATCGTCGAATGACACGAAACGATGCGTTTCGAGTTTGGGCCGTTTTTTTTTCCCGCCTCCTTCGCAGGTTTCCTGGAAAATTGGGCTTTTCTGTTGGAGCTTGGGATCAACGTAAAGTTGAAATTGGGCCTCACATGGAAATATCAACTTTGCCCTTTAAAAATATTTGAAAAACTAGAAAACTAAAAATTAACAAACATTTGATATTAGATAGCGAGTTTGGCATCAAAATATGATAGCTGACCCATTATGTGATGGTCCTTCACATTTTCATCATACGAAAAAAAATTAATATACTAGCCTAGTGAATATCGGCATTGGATTAAAAATGCCATCAAGTAAAGATCAAAATCGATTTGCGAAAAACGAAATCCTAAAAATGAAATCAAAACACGTATTAGGGATTCATAGGAAAGAGAGGGAGATGAACATGAAATTAAATTTGAAAGAGGGTATGGAGGTGACAGTTGGAGATGAGGGAGGTAGCTAAGCAGGTAGCTGGGTTAGTTTTTTCATCTATGTTTCTAAAACCCAAAAAATGTGAGTCTCTTCTTGATTTGAAGAAGCTTTCTTTTATGTCGGTGTTATGAACTTTTGAAGGAGTTGGGTGGGTGGTTTTTTTTTTTTTGGAGTTCTGTTAATGATTTTAAATCTTCTCTCTTTTTAAAAAAGTTTAGTCCATGTGGCACCACATAGGTCTTACACGTCATCAAAGTAACAGAAAAATAAACGGAATGGGACGACATTGATTTGTGATACTAAATTTCAGAGACGACATTGATCAATTTTCAATTTAAAAGACTAAAGTGAGGAGTGAAATCTATTTCAAAAATTATTTGTGATAAAAACCCTATTTTATAATACTTGCACAGTAATTTACGTTAGAGTGTCATACTTATGTCCAAATTAACTAGTACTTTTGATATTAGCTTCTTTAGAAATATTGTACGCAATTGATCGGGGATTTATTTATTTCTTACATAGGAAAATAAAAATACATATATATTTAATTCATGAGACTTGAGAGGGTTTAAGATCCTCAGCAGCTAACATTTCCTTTCCTCTTACTTTATGGGTCGTCGCCTATTTTTTTTGTGTCGATGGGATTTAGATTGTCTGTCTTCTCAGTGTTCTTCTCGTGCTCTTATGTTGTTTATGTGATCACAGTTAAATATTACTATTTATTTTATTTTATTATTTTTATATAAAAATAAGGCAACGAAATGGGAGAGCAAACAATCAAGTCCGATTCTAGGTCTTCCTCTTCGCTCTCTGTACTTCCTCCTCTCAGAATTCGAAACCCTCATGGATTCGCATACCAACGACCCCAACCTCGACGGCGAAGCTCACGACATAAACGGGCCAGACCACCGACACGAGGCGGCGGAGGATGACGACTACAGCAGGTCCCAGCCTCACACTGGCGACGGCGCCAGTTCCGGGTAATCTCTCTTCTCTTTTACTTTCACGCCCGCCGTTTGGTTCCCGAGAAAATTTAGAGAAAATCCAGAAAAAATCGAAATCTCAGCATAGCTATCTTTCTCTAATTCCGTAGGAAAATCTTTATAGGGGGTTTGGCAAGAAGGACTACTACAGGTAGGAATTTGAATTCTCGTTTCTGCTTAGTTGATTAATTACTGTGATTTTGTAGTTTTTAGGGTTTCTGATTGGGAACCTGTTCTGGTAATGCAGCGGAATTTATTAAGCATTTTGGTGCGTACGGTGAGATTATAGATTCGGTGATAATGAAGGACCGGAAGATGGGGCAACCCCGTGGTTTCGGGTTTGTGACGTATGACCCCTCTGTGGTTGATAAAGTCATTGAGGATGTTCATGTTATCAATGACAGACAAGTAGGTATTTTTGAGCTGTATACTTCTTTTGTTTGTAAAAAAGGAGCTTGCTTATGAATATTTTTTAATAATTTGTAGGTCGAAATCAAGCGAACAATACCCCGGGGAGCAATGGTTTCTAAGGATTTCAAGACTAAGAAGATTTTTGTGGGTGGAATTCCAACAACCGTAAATGAAGGTGCTCTTTCTTGTTGGTTCTTTTTTCTTTTTCAGTTTCTAGTTCTTCTTTGAGTATGGTTAATGAGGTACTTACACGTTCTTTGTAAATCGGCAGAGGAGTTTAGCGACTTCTTTTCACAGTACGGAGAGGTCAAGGAACACCAGATTATGCGGGACCACTCCACCGGGCGCTCACGTGGATTTGGATTTGTTACCTTCGACACAGAGCAAGCAGTGGATGAACTCTTGGACAAAGGGAACAAGCTTGAGTTTGCTGGAGCTCAGGTGAGTTGTCTACTGAAAAAACATTTGTCCATGCCCTTATATGCTTTATGATTATGCCACATGGAGCGAATTCCTAAATAGTTATCATATGCATTATCTGTTACATTGGTTGTAGTTTAGGATTATGGTGTGCCGAATTTTGCATTGATGTTCTGCAATCCTCATTAATAATCATATTCTAGTACTAGTGACATACATGAATGGCCAACTCAGTATCCTGTTTTTCAAGATTTTGTGTTTATTAGATGTGTCGTCTCATGTTATCAATTGAGTGTTTGCTCCCTCTTTTGAATTTTCTGCTTTCGCTGATCAATGTCGAAGAATGGTTTTGTAATGGGTTGCACTAAATTGTTACACTAAATTGTTGCTTGGTTTAGTAGTACCTGTAGATTCACTTATTCACTTTTGAAGTGACGAATAAGGAGAACATGATACAATACGCTTGACCAAACAAAACTGTGATAGAATTCACTTATGTACAAGAAAATAGTTTACATGTACTCAGACGGTTTGGCCATGTAATGTACTAAATGCATCTATGATCATTCAAGAAGCTTGATAATTTAGATTCATCTGTTAATTCTTGTAGGTGGAGATAAAAAAGGCAGAACCAAAGAAGCCAAACCAACCTGCACCACCATCAAAACGTTATAATGATTCTAGACCTGCATATGGTGGTGGGTATGGAGAAAGCTATGGTGGATTTGGAGGTGGCAGTTATGGTGGTGCTGGTGGCTATAGGTCAGCTGATGCCTATGGTGGTAGAGGCAGTGCTTATGGAGGATATGGTGGCAGTGAATTTGGCGGATATGGAGTATATGGTGGCGGTGGTGGCGGCGGTATAGGGGCTTATAGGGGAGAATCTTCCATAGGATATTCAAGCCGTTATGGAGGAGCCTATAGCAGGGGTTATGATATGGGAGGTGGTTATGGTGGAGCTGGTGAGAGTTATGGGGGATATGGAGGTGCTGGCGGGGCAGCTGGTGGTGGTGGTGGCTATGGGAGTGGCTATGATGCAGGTTTTGGAGGTGGATACGGAGGTGGCTACGGAGGTGGTAGTGGAGCTTCCTTTTACGGTAGTAGAGGAGGGGGATATGGCGGTGCAGGTAGTGGCCGTTATCATCCATATGGGAGGTAGGTTTGTTGTATTTTAGGATGAAAAAAGAAGTCTGCAGCTAAATGAACCTACCTCTGTAGCTATTGGCTTCAAGTCTACAGGCGTATGTTTCCGGTTTCTCACTTGGTCTCATTTCTCTCTCTTTCTATATTTTGCCCCGGCGGCAATGGAGGCCGGTAACCTTGTGTCAACGACGTTCCGTATAATCTTCTGTTGAATTCTTTTTATTTCATTGAAGCCCTTTATTTGTACCAGGACTATGAGATTAAAGGGACCTGGCAATTGACATTAACAGGCTGCACATTTGTGCAGATGTTTGCATTCTCGCACTGAATTTTATTTCGTACGATGGCATAGAGACTGCCATTAGTTCTTTTTTCGCCTTTTTTTTTTTTTTGTTGTGGAATCCGCTATTGGGTTAACCATTTTTGTTATTACTTTCTGAGTACGCGGGATTTTTAGGATCCAACCCATTGGAGATGTTCTTACAAAATTTTCCATGATTTGCTAGTTTTTGTTCAGAAGGCATTTCACTATCTTCCAAATGAAGCCAAATATGAAGCCATATGACCCTTGAAATAAGAGTTTAGGTTTCTTTTGGTACAAATGAATGTCTTAATTGTTTCAGGTTAGTCTAATTTTTTGCAAGGATGATATATGAGTGATGGTTCAGATCGTTAAAATACGTTACGGAATGTGCCACAAAAAAAATGTAAGTCAAAATTTGTGTAAAAAAGTAGAGTAACGGATCAGCTCCCTATAAAAAGAAGTTACTAAAATGAGAGGCACAAATGTTTCCCTTTGCTAGACAGATTGGGGGCTTGTGGCAAAAGAGCTTCAAATCCCAGTAATAATTTTGGGGATCAATTCTGAATCCGTGAATGTCTGTTGGGTGGGGATTATGCATGTGCTGCTGCTGCTGCATTTGCTCTTGCTTCTTATATAATTGTATTATGAGCTCTTTAAGCTCGATTACTGCAATGATTAAGCACGAATGATGTCGATTAGGATGTCACAGATGTACAAGTTGACTGTATAAGGAAGTTTTTCGAGTGTGAATTTGGTAGAAGCTGCGTGATCGATGCATTGAAACTCGAAAGAGTTGGTCACTAAAATCCATTTTGCTCTAGGGGGCTATATGCACTTGTTCTGATAGATTGGTGTTGGCGATGACTTTGGGAAGTGTCACAAAGAGGAAACCCCGTATAGTTTTTGGAGGAGGTTGAACCCCAATGCGTCCCACTTTTCCTTTTCTTTTCTCTTTTGTCTAGTAAGCATCACTGCGCCGTCGAGAAATGCAAAACCATACTGAGGATGTGAGACGTCCTTGCTTAAATGTGTATCGATAGCTTGTCATGTAGGCATCAGACAGCTTCTTCTGGTGTGAAAACATTTCTAAAGTAGTGTTTCGCTTGGGTAAAAACATAGCATAGACCGTGTACTCAGTCGACTTGGATCTTTCAGAAACCGTAAGAAACTAACAGATTACTTGGACAAAACAATGTCGAAATGAAGATAAGCAATGTAATTCACATTCGCGGCTAACTTAATTAAGCTTGAAGTTAAGAGGATAAGTTTTTTCGATGGTTTAGAAGAAACAAGTTTCAGTGTTTACTGCACACACCTAAAGAACACAATGACCGAGCGATGGTGAATGAGATCACAAGGTGATCAAAGTCTTTGAGTTGTGCCATTTTCGTTTCTCAAGTGTCTAAACGCCGTTTTATGTTATTCTCAGATGTCCAGCCATGGAAGATGATTCCTGTACGGGATCACAGTTGATCCTTTTTATTTGGATATGCAAATGATCACCATCTATGAGATTTGAACTTCTCACACTGTTTCAGTCTCCATCACATTTGTGCAGGGAGAGGGCACCCCTTCGCACGAGTTCAGGAAACTGCACCGGAACCTTCCCTAAAACTATACTTGCATCCAAACTGATCGTTTCTCTCTGGTATGCTGTCAGTATTACTCTGTTGTGTTGGTTTCGTTTGTACGAATAACTATGATTAGTGTGATTACGTCTGTCTTGCTGTCTATATTACTCTGTTTGCTCATTCATGGGGGAGCGGCAGGCCCTACGGATATGTGTGATACGTCGAATTTGCTACCCAAGATGCTATTTTCTTCTCTTTTGATTTTCCTTGTGTGTATTTTTTAGGCCTAACTCGTCGGTACCGGCTCCGGAAGGGGAAGTATGAACCAAGCGAGAAGAGGCTTGACGTTTTGTCAACGGCAAGATACGTCTTAAATTTGTACCTAGGAAACTTGTTAGAACAATCTTGACATCTTGTTTAATGTTAGTTTCCTTGTCACATTCCTTGCTAGTTTGCCCATGCTCAGAAAAGGAAATGAATGTCTAGTTTAATGCTTCTCGTTTGTAATTGTATGGAGATTTTTTTTTTTTTTGGTGAGACATCTACATGATGATGTTATTAATTCACGTGTACTACAAAATTACAGTATAAGCAACGGTCATGTTGAAATTTTTTATAGTTACATATGTTATAATATGAATAGATCCATAAAACCACATGACACTGTAAGTGCTTGGCTGAATAATGATAGTGTAAGTGCCTAGCCGAAAAAAGTTACTTGTTCGTATATGGAGCATGTGTGGTCAATGAATTTTACATGAGTCAATATGTTGTGATGCCACAAAGAGGCCCGTTTGGTGTGATGGATGAGATTAGACAACAGAGATATGATTAGATTCGTAGGGGCTTATAAGACAAGACTTGTAACCTATTTATAAGGATAAGTTAGATAACCTACTCTATTCTGGACTTATAATCCAGTTCAATCTTGTCTATCTCACATTTGACACAATAAATAACATGTTGAACTCAAGTTTATTTTAATTGATCACAACTTATTCCATTCAGCACACCAAACAGGGCCTTAAGGTTTTGAGTCTGGAACTAGTCTTGACATCCTCCGTGTTACTATTATGTCACTTTATTTCAGGTATATTGAAAGATTGCTCACTGTCAACCCTAGTTAAATGGAGAAAATGGAAAATGATTTGCCAAAGGTATGTCCATGGGAGGCAGATTCTCTGCCCTCCCATTTTCAGTGCCCTTCTGTTTTATGTGGTCACAGTTAAGTCATGTCAACATTTTATATTATTTTTTATTAAGATAATAAGATAAAAAGAAATAATAATATAAAATATTGACATGATTTAACCGTGACCACATAAACAGGAGGGCACAGGAAGCGGGAGAGTAGAGAATTTGCCTCTATGTCCATGTTATGTGATTGGTAATGGTGGTCCCCACTAGTTAAGATACAGTCTAAATTCCCTTCTAATAATTACACGTGTCAAGAACCAAGTGTTTTGCACCGCATAGAGTTTACGGTGCAAAGCATCCATCAATGTCCATAAGCAATATAGAACCGTCCGATGTTTGATGGGAATTAAAATTTAAGGAAATGGGTCTTTTCTGGGACCCACATTGTTAGGAAAGCATGTTATGTGTATATGGTCACCATCACGAGAATGACTTTTTTTATTTATTAACATCGATATTATCTAGAGAACTTTAACGAAAAACTTCCGGTACTATTCACTTTAACAAAAAACCACATTTTTACACTAAAAAGTCAATCATGGTACTATTCATTTTACCCTTTATTTTGTCTTTATCATTAAAACTCAAAATTTTCAAGCAATTTTCATTAATTTTCCTTATTATCTATGCTAACATAGAGGGTTGAGCTTTAACTCACAATAATGACATATAAAACTTGTGTTTATCGCAATTAGGGCGTTCCGATAAACTAATACACAATGTTAAATGTAAGTTTGTTTTTTCACGTAACATTGCGTGGTAGAATTGATTTTTACAATTGAGATATTCATTTTATATAAGTTGATATCAGACTCTTTTTGCACTTACAATCTACAATACAAAATACCACCATCGTGATTGTAGAGATATTTTTCAGTCTGTCGAAAAACGGGTAATGTACACCAATAACATAAATAGTTGAATATTTGAAAAAATAAAAATAAAAAATTAACTGCTTGTACAATGACACCTTATATAACAGACTGTTTTCGACACGTTGAAAAATTTCTGTGATAGTAGCCCCACGTACCCAAAGCTCCGTAACATTTGATACGGGCGCCCTGTCCTTCCAGATTAAACATATCTTTTAGTTTCACCGCGGGCCTACCGTAGATTCATGCGACGGACATGACAGCCGTCCACGTGCTTTGTCGCTGGTGTTCACGTGCGCGCATGTGAGGCCCCCCTGCTGGTTCCCGCGAAAGGAGTTATCGAGATTTGTGCGGTTGCTTAATCCCCATGTGATTACGACTAATTATAATTTAATTTAATTATCTTGGACCTAAATAATGTTTAAAAAAATGAAAATTAAGTCCTATATCTGCTCCCTGAATTTTGGTGTTGTGGTCAATCAAAACATTGTCTAGTTACATTCTAGATGTTGGATATTTTCCACTCTTTGGATTAGATTCCATTAAAAAATTATTATTAGCATTGTATTATTGGAATTTAGGGAGAAAATAAAATAATATTTGAGGGGAAAGAATGCTTGAAAATTTGACAATGTTGAGGACCTCTGCTCTTACTTATGGGATAAAACAGATAACATAATCAGCTGCGAATTCAAGATTAGGATCATTGAGGGTTTTAATGTTAATTTTTTAGATAGAAACATGTCAATAGATAATGACATACACTGAAACAGTCTGATGAGTGATATCGACGCATCATCTCAAGATATGCTAGCATGCATTACATCAAATGGGCACAGGAAGGATCGGTACCAATCATTTCTCGAAAGACATTCACATGTGTATTTTATGAACTTTTGGTGATCCTAAAATCACTTTGGTCTCAATGTACATTCGTCATTGGACATAATTGTCTTGAAAATAATGTAGGAGTCATGTGATATCGATAATTACATTGCTCATATAAAATGTAAATGGAGTTGTTATTGGGAGCTCGAAAAATAAGTTACACTTTGAAGACGAAGTATGATAACTATTGAAAATTAATAAAAAAAAGTGAGTTTGATATTTGTACAATTACGTATGACATTGCATGACACACCCCGTCCCGAATGAGGGCATGCTGGCCGTCACGTGAGAGTGACGTAACCATTTACACAGTTCGGAAGCTTTTAAAATACAATTACTAAGATATAACACCCGGGGGTGAATCCTACGTGAATTCTGTCAGAACGCCGTTGGGTTCCTCGTGGCCACCAAAGCTCTGCTAACTTGAACCTGGAGGGGCGAAAAACAAAATTGAGTGGGTCATTAAAACCAAAGCTTTTCAAAAACATTTCGCCAAAAATAATTCTAACCCCTCTCTGTAAAACCTGTATACTTTTCCCAGAA